CTCATAGCATGCAGAATTGATACGAACCCTTGGAAGACACATCACTTTCCATTTCATCGGACATCAATTAAATATTGGCCCACTGGCCTGTTTGCTTGCGACCGAAAATGTAAATAACTAGCTCCCAAGCAAGCGAAGCAGAAGCAACAGCTAATCCAGCGCCCGCTTACGGGGAACGTTCTGGAACTTTTCAATGGCGCTAAGTTGAAATAGTTATTTCAACTTTGCAAGTTACCGTTGGTGTACCAACAATTTTAAAATGTTCATTAATAATTCATAAAATTTATTATTAGGTTTGAACTCATTCACACTTAAATTCAATTCAAATTCAATTATTTTTCAAGCGTAGCAAAAGACAGTTGTGCATGACAGTTGAAGGTCGGCACGCCGTGAACCGCTAATGTAGTTCAAATTCAACGGTCAGAACGACGAAGTTGCGTGCGCTAGGATTGTACCGTAGGGATTTGGAGGAAGGATCACAAGATTTTGTCGAGGATTTAAAGTAAGACAGAAAATGTGGGCATTAGCGTTGGACTTGTCGTCCAGTGAGCTGAAGGTAGTCGACTCAGCGCTCCTCTATAAGATTAAAGAGGGAAACCGGTGCGTCGCCCTCAAGCCAACTGCCTCAAAGAAGATAAGCCGCCACGAGGAATTTGGATTTGTGGATGGTGACAAGCTGAAAAAACACATAATTCTCGCTTTGAGTGGTACGTAAATATAAGGTCTCAAGCCAATACCATTTCTGACATAACCTAGTCTAGTGACTAACTTTGCTGTCTTTGTGCTGCCCCTCAGAAAATTTCGATGAACTGCTTGAGCTATTGAAACAGAAGAAAAGAACTGCGCCTCCTGTGAGGCTGTCCATTTCGCCAACAGAGGAGCCATTGGAATTGTATTCTTTCCCGGAAAAAGATAAATCTTCTAAGCGAGCTGAAAGGGACTCAAAGGTAGATATCGCATATCGCCTCTATGTTGCTGCTAGTTTTGGTTTGTTTCAGTGGTTGTAATAACTCCTGATGTTTTTTAGCAGTCGGAGGTCAAAGGCATAAAGTCTGCGAAGTCCAGGGACGGCAAGCAAATTTTAAAGAAATTTAAGGATTTGCGTGAGGAATCAACCAGCATGCTACCAAGTGAAAACAAGGTCAGAAATAGTTAAATATTAAGCAGAGACAGAACGGATACATTGCGTTCAGGTGACTTTGACACTAAATGTCAATATGACATCATTTTGATTTTGAAATCAAGTCAAGCTAGTGGTTCATACTAAAGTCATTTTGACAAACATGAATTAGACTTTTTGAAATAAATGAACATTGATGGGACCATTACACGACCATTGAGAGTGGACCGACTGGAATTGAGTTCTCCTTCCAAATATCGATTGTGAAACTATGCATTTACCTAACACCTTAGAAAATAGATGTCTGAACCCCAACACCTTGTTCTGTTGAGAGACTGTTTGTCATTTCAGTTTTGCTTCTCCAAATTTATTTTTATTTCATTTTATTCTCTCAACTATTTTTTGTGTAGAGTTATGAAAATTATTTTCAGCCTTTCACTCTTTGTTTGTTGATGGCCATAAATAACCAGTGAATTTTTTGTCTTAGGGCACTTCCTCAAAGAAGAATAAACGGCAGCAGGTGAAGGACCTGAAGGGAAAACATCTTAAAGACCAAGAAGAGGAGGCCCTGCACGAAGAGGAAAAACTGGCCAGAGAGAAAGAATTACTCGAGAAGGAAAAACATGACAAAGAACAAGAAGAGAAGGCCTTGCGTGAAGAGGAAAAACTGGCCAGAGAGAAAGAATTACTGGAGAAGGAAAAACATGACAAAAAACAAGAAGAGAAGGCCTTGCGTGAAGAGGAAAAACTGGCCAGAGAGAAAGAATTACTGGAGAAGGAAAAACATGACAAAGAACAAGAAGAGAAGGCCTTGCGTGAAGAGGAAAAACTGGCCAGAGAAAAAGAATTACTGGAGAAGGAAAAACATGACAAAGAACAAGAAGAGAAGGCCTTGCGTGAAGAGGAAAAACTGGCCAGAGAAAAAGAATTACTGGAGAAGGAAAAGCATGACAAAGAACAAGAAGAGAAGGCCTTGCGTGAAGAGGAAAGACTGGCCAGAGAAAAAGAATTACTGGAGAAGGAAAAGCATGACAAAGAACAAGAAGAGATGGCCTTGCGTGAAGAAGAGAAACTGACTAAGGAAAGAGAATTGCTGGAGAAGAAAAAACATGACAAACGAGAAGGGAGTGAGTATCCCAAATCAGAAAGCGGAGATTCTAGCGAATCAGAAGGAGAGGGCAAGAAGCCCCAGAAAAAAAGGAAGAGAAAGCATTCTTCCAGACATAAGGTATTGTACTTTATTGAGAGTAGACATGCTTAACTTTAAATTTATCGATTTCTCTTCTTTAAGCCCTGTTTGTAACTGTTGCAGGATTCATGTCGTAACAAGGCACACTTAAAGTTGGAGAAGGAGGTAGACACTTTGAAAAGAGAGCTCTCAAAATGTCGCCTCACAATTAGCGAACAAGAAGCAACTATTTCAGAGTTGAAGGCCAAACCCGTTGACCAGGATCTAGTGCAGCAGCTGAAATGTAAGTTCCTGCTCAGTCTTTTAAGTTTCACTTCTTACTTTTCTGTCTTGAGGATATTATTTCATTTAAATGATGCATATGCTCCAGCAATTTTCTTTTACTTAGCATGTATTTAGCTACAGGCAAGTCTTGGCCTCTAATTAGTCTCTGTGCATGATTCTAAATTTTCCACATGTTATCAATATGTGGGACAGGTTCTCAGTTTTACTACCATCATAACTCCTTGTACAATCTTTGCATGTCTTGTCTTGATTTCTGGTGCAAATTCTTCATACCAGCCCTTTCTTGCATGTTGCTAGCATTGATTTCTACTTCTGGTGCTGCTTCAAGCAGCAGTGTGGTGGTACGGTCCAAAAAGTCAAAGCTGGGGGAGCTACCCTCCAACCTTGTAGATGATGAACAGGTTGCTGTCACGAAGGTGATGTGTCACAGTGTTAGATAAAATTATTATAAAGTTTGGTAAGATTGGTTATTAATTGACTAATTTTCTCTGCAGGTGAAGGTGGGGCCCTCCAAATACGTCTCAAAGGCCATGATTTCTGAAATCGAGACAAATGTGGCCTATTTCACCGGAAGGGTTGAGTCGCTTGTGTCCCTATTTTATGGGCCAAATGCACATCTATACTCTGTCAAGAAAAAGAGTAAATACTGTGTGGAGGATGAAGAAATTACCTCCATGGAAAGTATGTATAATGTGCTTTATCCAATCAAACTTGAGTTAATATCGGCCCCACTTTCATTATCATTTTTTATTCATTTCTAGAAATTCTGCTTGCTATGAAGTGGAAACGCACCTGCGACATTGATGAGCAAAAGATACGGACCCGAATTATCAAGTATTTGTCGGAGCTTCGAACTAAGGAGGAACAAAAAAAGCTAAAAGGGAAGAAGGAAGCTACCACCAAGAGGAAGCGCCAACACTCGCTGTCAGAGGAAGAAGATAGGTCAAAGAAGCATCGCCCATCTCCATCACAAAAGAGCAGTGATTCCTCCGATTCCAGTTCAGACAGTGATTCAGGTTCATCCACCTCTAGCAGTACCTCAGATGATGACGATAGTGGCCAATGAGTGCATTTGACATTATTTTTTACTCTATATTTTGTTGAAATTCTAATCATTGGCTGGTGCCCTAAACTGTGATTTTAATTGATTTTATTTTTTATTGTTTGTCTATTCTCAAGACGCTATGTTGTATTCATTACATGTGATTGTTGTTTATAATAATGTGGACCATTGATACTATTGCCGGTAGCAGTGAAAAATATGTTACTTCTTTTATTGTTTTCGACAAATCTTTTTGTCATAAATCTGATGTTTACATGACTAGACACCTTGGAGTCATCATTATAATACATATTTCAAATACCTGTTTTGCCCCTTTTCATTAGCATTACAGACTTTAAGTGTTATTTGCTTTGTTGTATCATGAATAAATACTTTTCTCTGAATACTGAAATTCATGCATATTTTGTTTGAGTTTGTACCTGTGTATAGCCCTATGAGAAATAATGCATCTGTACGAGACGAGGGGATACGTAGCGGACCGGCGAGGGACAATTCCTAAGGAACTCCCTAGATATCCACTAGGATCTGTAAAGATATATCTGCGGACCAGCGAGGGATTTCTAAGGAACTCTGTAAATATCCACTAGGATCTAAAAAGATATCTGCGGACCAGTGAGGGATATTCCGAAGGAACTCCCAAGATATCCACTAGGATGTAAAAACATCTTACTTTATCCTCTAGACAGACTTCGGACAATCCACGGGGATATCCCTAGGTTGTCCTAGAGATATCTACTTTGAAACAATTCAGGACAAATCCTCCAGATATCCATCAAAACTCCCCATATCTCCCCGAAGGATAAATAAATCCCCATTTCTCCCCTGCTCCATCAGGGTGACTTCACGGAGAAACCGTGGAGTCCTGCCACCCTCGCGAAGACAGCCGCGAGATCCACTGTTACGCAGGCCACCACGACAGCCACTGGAGACCCTCGGCAACCCCTCTGAAATGACAATTGAAAGCTGCGCCGCACCCCTGCGACCTTCGAAACACCCCCGCTAAACCCACGACTTCCTCTCATGAGGTCTTGTGCCCTCAGTGACATCAGGTGGCTATCTGGCAGGTGCGAATGCCCATTTCTAAATATCAATTATATCCGCACCTACACGTTTGCGCCCACTAGTTCATTGGTGAAAAAAGATCCTCTCGGGCTGCCCAAGCTAACTCCAAATTATTGACACATTGAAAAAACTCACCCTGTAGAATGCTCTATCTGTTGGACAGTTATTGTACAGTTTTTGTTGTACTTTTGTTCACACTTTTTCTTGCAGTGCAAAATACTTGGAAAGATTTTACGCGTTCTGGAATGTGAGTGACCTCGTGATTGTGCTCATCCTTTCAGGGCCAGTACGATGTCAACGGCCCGGTGAACTGGACCTTTCCCAACTTCCCCATCATGCCGTACGGCCGCTACCGTCTGCACCTCCGAACTCTGGGAGATCCCTACAAGGATCCCATCGTGAGATACTGCGCGATCCTCGACTGTGAAATCATCCCGAGGCCGGGCTAGACATTTACCGCCCGCACACGCACAGTGGGCAAGGAGACCGGTGGAGGCGGCCAAAACTCAAGACGCGTTTTGAGCTCCAGAGTCGCTAACTGGGCCTCGAACCGAACGTGTGACCCCACCAATGGATTCCTCGTTCGGAGAGCAATCCATTGGTGGGTTCACACCCTCGGTTCGAGTCCTTTTTAGCGACTCTGGAGCTCAAAACACGTCTAGAGTTTTGGCCGCCTCCACTGGTCTTGTGGCCCACTGTGGCCCGCCCAGGCTCCCTGCCAAACTGTACTAAAATATCGTTTGATTGAGGCATATTTTATCGGAAAATGACCCTGTAACATTAAAAGCGTTCTAAGAAGTTTTAGGGAAGATTCGCAGTTTGGGCCATGCCTGCTCTTCTACTGTCACTGTGTATCTAATAAATTAAAAAGCAAAATTTCCCGAATTTGATTTCAAAGCAAGCAAAGCCCGTCCTGCAGTAGCCTAGGAAGGCTGGTGCGGTCAAAATCCCAGACGTTTTTGAGAACACTGTGCGTGATCTTCGTAGAGACGGCAGCTTAGCCATCACGAGCCCTCATAACTAACCCTAAGCAGTCAAGAGTAACTCAAAGAATCATGCTTTTTGATATTCCTACACTGTAACTCAGAATAAAATAAAATGGAAATGCATTTCAATGGTCTGTGTGTGGTGCGTAGAGGCTGATGGCCTATTCCATCAAACTAGAAATTTAAAGTCACTTTTCACTACATTGGACGAGTTTAGTCTTGTTCAACATGAGCAATATTTCTCCTCGTTTGCAGTGTTAATTGTTGGAAAAACACTTCCCAAGTACTGACACACATTTAACTAGGGGTACAGGGACATTCCATGTGAAGTCAACCAGGCCTTAGCCACCATGGGCTCCGATCCGGTTCTCGTTTTCAGGGTTTGTTACCCCTATGGTCCCATGAAATAATCGGTACTTGGTTTGGGGTCCGGCCCCCCAGGGGCTGGGCTATGGCCAATTTACTTTTTTGCTAAATATTGGAACAACGCAACTTTGGAGGGCAATATCTCAGCAACCATTGGTCGTAGGTCAAATCCGAGACCAGATTTGGAAAGAGGATGAAAAACTGAATCTTTTTTGTCTTTGAAGTTTTTACGTCCAAAAACTTTTTATAACTTTAAAACTTTAGTGAAATTTTCAAATTAGCGCCACTTCCTAGATCCTCAACCGATTTAGACCAATCTGGGCTTAAAAGATAGCTTAAACCCTTCCCTAAACGAAAATGTTAACCAAAAAATGTGTTCGACTTCGTTCCCGAGAACGAGCTATTTTCGTGAACCCCTGCAACCACGTATTTCACCAAATTGTAGTGACGGCCGCACTCGGTACCACACTGGAAGCTCTCTTCGGTGTGTTCGGCTCAAGGCAAGTTTCCGGGTTGCTTTTCTAAGGTCAGGGGATCCAAACGCCTGTCAGGTAGGCCAACAACCAGCAGACCTGCAACGCACTAGTGACGACAGGGTGGCCTACACTATAAAATCATATGTGTGCTTAGTACAAAGCTGTGGGAGTATGCTTGGAAGCATACATCTATAGGAGTGTGCTTGTCAAGCACACATCTATAGAAAAGTGCTTGACAAGCATACATCTATAGATGTGCACCTATAGCTGTGTACTTGGGCAAGCATGCATCTATGGCTGTGTGCTTTTAAATGTGTGAGATGAATGCATGCTTGCCCAAGTACACATCTATAGATGCATGCTTGCCCAATCACACTTCTATAGATGTATAGAAGGTCCCCTGACCTTAGAAAAGCAACCCGGAAACTTGCTTTGTAAGAACACAGCTATAGGAGTATGCTTGGGTAAGCATGCATCGATAGAAAAGTGCTTGACAAGCATACATCTATAGATGTGCACCTATAGCTACTTGGGCAAGCATGCATCTATGGCTGTGTGCTTTGGAATGGGTGAGATGAATGCATGCTTGCCCAAGTACACAGCTATAGGTGCATGCTTCTCTAAGTACACATCTATAGATGCATGCTTGCCCAAGTACACTTCTATAGATGTACACTGAGAAAACCTTACAAACTATTTTGGGCCTTACAAAGAAATGAAGTTTGTATAACAAAGTATTTTGAGCATACATAAGCTTACAAAGAAATTACTTCGTAATTTACGAACTATTTCTTCGTATAACAAAGTATTTAAGTTTCTTATACGTATGCTTAAAATACTTCGTAAGGTTTTAAGAGTGTATGCTTGACAAGCACACTCCCACAGCTTTGTACTAAGCACACATTTGATTTTATAGTGCAGGCCACCCTGTCGTCACTTGTGTGTTGCAGGTCTGCTGGTTGTTGGCCTACCTGACAGGCGTTTGGATCCCCTGACCTTAGAAAAGCAACCCGGAAACTTGCTTTGAGCCGAAAACACCGAAGAGAGCGTCCAGTGTGGTATCGAGTGCGGCCGTCACTACAATTTAGTGAAATACGTGGTTGCAGGGGTTCACGAAAATAGCTCGTTCTCGGGAACGAAGCCGAACACATTTTTTGGTTAACATTTTCGTTTAGGGAAGGGTTTAAGCTATCTTTTAAGCCCAGATTGGTCGAAATCGGTTGAGGATCTAGGAAATGGCGCTAATTTGAAAATTTCACTAAAGTTTTAAAGTTATAAAAAGTTTTTGGACGTAAAAACTTCAAAGACAAAAAAGATTCAGTTTTTCATCCTCTTTCCAAATCTGGTCTCGGATTTGACCTGCGACCAATGGTTGCTGAGATATTGCCCTCCAAAGTTGCGTTGTTCCAATATTTAGCAAAAAAAGTAAATTGGCCATAGCCCAGTCCCTGGGGGGCCGGACCCCAAACCAAGTACCGATTATTTCATGGGACCATAGGGGTAACAAACCCTGAAAACGAGAACCGGATCGGAGCCCATGGTGGCTAAGGCCTGGTTGACTTCACATGGAATGTCCCTACACAATAAACACATTTACAGCCTCGAGACCGAGGGGGCGACCCTGGACGGCGGCGACAAAATCACGCCTACACTGCTGGGAAAGTCGTCCAGGGCCGCACCGCCCTTGTTCTGCGCCTGCACGTGCAGGGCCTCTCCGTCCCGAGGCCCCCGTCGAGCCCGTGCAGCCCCAGGGCAAGGGCACACTCGTCGTCAGCCCTCCAGCCCGTTCACACGTCGGAACGCCGGCTGGCTCCCGCGCCGCGCCGCGACCACCGCGACTCCCGCGCCGCGCTCAGTTTCTGTACCATACGATTCACAAATACTTCAATTACCATTCGATATCTCCTTGTTACTGAACTTATGAATACGCAATGTTATTAGTAATACCTAAAAAGCCTTTCTCCCTTCTTGTTTAAACTAGTGGATTAAACTATATTGATTTATCTGCATTAATTAAAAAGAGACATATTTACAGGCAGGCTGATTGCAACTACTTTACGGAGAAGACTTTCTGTCAGATCCAATGAATCGTTTCATAGAATCCAATGTCGAGGCCACTTATTGCTAAACGCAAGTTAATCTTATTCATAAAGATAGTCATGATGTGTTATTTGATCTTTGAAACAGTTTAGCAAAAGTATTTACCTAACATTCTGAGTAAATTAAAAAAAAAGCCAACTCAAACCATGACCAACACAAATTACCAGTTGTCGCAGACAATGTATGATTAAGTTAAAAGAATCGTCTCATGAAATCATATGACCAAGTCAGTGAATCGTCTCATTGAATCTGATGTCAATGTCAAACCTTGAATGCGCTACACTCACTCATCATATGGTTTTCCTTAAGGTTAGTACTATAGTAAACTCACAGCATTGCAATGAAGCCTTTTCCCAGAATCAGTGCCAAGAGTCAGCAAAGACTATTTATTTTGGCAAGATTAGCATCTGGTTTGTACTCATAGAATGTATAAATATATTTTCTAACTGTTATTGAGCAAAGCAAACAACTAAAAAATATAGTGTCTGAGAATATAAATGGAAATACACTCACAAAGGTTAAAAAGACCAAATCATTCTTGCACTTATCAAACACACTCCACTGACTAAAACATTTCCCCTGTAGCGGGGGAGGGGAGGGGGTGGACGGACGGACGAAACGCGTAATAATTGTCACTTTCATTTTCCGTATTTCACTGAGTTGACACTCCGGAGGGGTTTCAATCATTCTGAAATATCGAAAAACTATGACCGTACTCACTTCTAAGCCCTTCTGCTCCTTAGTTTGTTTTATTTGCCAATGTTTTGCCAGGTCCCGTATTTGAGAGTCGCGGCCGCAAGTATGAAAAATTGCTACGAGCTGCCAACCACTGCCAACCTACCCACGCTAAGAACCTAATTCAAAAAGATATTTTGAATATTTCAAACAATAGTAATCGTGAATATAAGATAAACTCCCCCTGGGGGAGATTTAGGAGCCTTCCGGTGCGAAATTTTGAAACTATTTGTGCGGTAGTTGCTGAGAAACGTGAGTGAGTTACAGACAGACGCACGACCAGTCACTTTTTGGTACCCCCAAACACGGCATGGGCTTGCTATCGCTCGCCAAAAATCCAGCAGTTATGCACTCCGAAAATACCAGCACAGGGTGACCACTTATCAGGGAAATTAAAATCTGACCTCAACAGGGAAAAGTAGACGGCATAGCCCATAGCCGTATAGACGTACAGGAATTTTCCAAATCACGTATAGGACTTTCGTTTCCCATACCGACGTTGGTACTTGTACCATATGACTGTGAAGTAGAAATGCCACTATATTTTTTTTAGAGTGAGGCATTAACACTACAAAGAAATGCTTCGTATTACGAAGCAAAATCCTTCGTATATAATACGAAGCATTTTTTCATAATACGAAACAATGCCACATTGCCTTCATTTTCTATGAAGCAAATGCTTCGGAAGCTTTTAAAAGTGCAAAATTGCTACTAGTTTGTAATACGATCAGCCAAACTCTTCGCAAGCTGCAAACCACACAGTTTGTAATGCGAACACATTCTTCGCAAGATTCTGAGAGTGTAAGTGACGTTCGATCCTATCTAGACACGAAATGTGTCGTGTGGAGTATCTCGTTTTCGGCGGATCTGTCTCGTAGTTTCCAATCGCCGAATGGGACCCAGGTCAGCTAGTGCGCGTCACAATGCATTGCCATGTCCACGGTGAGTTGTCCTTTGAGTGACAACCATGAACAGTGCCAGTTCTACACTGAGAATGAAAGAGTCATGATCATGACAAAAATTTTGGGCGAGGGATTCTTTCTCACCCTAATTTAGGCGAGGAAGGCTTCCTCGCCCAATTTGGGTGAGGAAAGTTTCCTTACCCAAATTTGGGTCATAATACTATGGAGCCACATAGGTAGCTGATACACCCTTCCTGACCCAATTTTGGGCGAGGAAGGCTTCCTCGCCCAAATTTGGGTAATAAAGTATACCTCACCCAAAATTGGGTATTGATCATGACTTTTTCATTCTCAGTATACAAGCTTTATTTCTCACGATCGTTTGAATGCGTATGACAACGATTTGTCACCAAAGCCGATCCACTCTCCGACACTCCACGGACATTTTTTTCAGTAAACCTACAGTTTTATTATTTTTTCTGCAATTGTAGTCCTTTTGATTGTAAGTACAGAAAAAATAATCAGCAACCTTACAGAAAAGTGGTCTGTTGATAATATTTTCTGCAACTACAGTTATGATCAAGCAGAAAAAAATTACTGTTCCATTCTAGTAAAAATGATCTATAAATGTAGGCAAAATGTTCTCTACATACAGATAATATAAACAAGAATTAACAGAAAAGATTTTAAAGAGTCAGAATAACTTTTTGGATGTTTCCGCTAAAAGTCACAATTCAACCATCTCTTAAAAGCCGCTTACATTGAGTCCTTTCTTGACTTGTTGAAGCTAAGAATGTTTTGTAGGATCATTTTGACTAAGCGCATTACCTTCCAATCAGCTTTGTTTGAACGGAGAAAAATTTCTCTGAAAATATTTACTGAAGATCACAAAGTAGTCATCGACAAATTGTTTATGAGCACAAACTTTATCTTCTACATTTGCAGAAAATAAATTCTTTGATTATAAACAAATTTGTCATCATATTTTTACTGATATTGTAAATTTTCTGTAAGTAAGTAAAAGATTGTCTATAATTACCAAATTTGTTACCGCTAATTTATCTGTATCTCATGTAAAATTTATTCGATATGTTAATGAAAATATTTACTATATCATAGTAACGCTCTAAAATCAGTAAGCCGTAGAGTAAATTTTCTACAATATAGAAAAAATAATCAGTGAAGGTCTGAGAGTGGAAGAGAAAAGAGCCAACTGGTGTGTCATCAAATTCGTTTGCACGCCAAACAGGCGTTGGGAGTTTGAATGTGACAAACAGTGAAAATTTATGGTCATACGAATGTGACACCGCACCGCTCAATCCAATTACTTCAAGTGTGACACGAAATCAGCAGACGAAATGTCGCACTGAAACAAATGTGACATATGTCGTATCTCATCAGAACGAATGTGACACCTATGAAGTCTCACGTTCAGTTGTATGTTACACCCACGTACTGTCACGTTCGTTTGAATGTGACAGACATAAGTTTCAGGTCACGATGTGTCACGCTCGTTTTAATTTCACATGCCCGAATGTGACTTGAAATTTTCATGTGAAAACGAATGTGATGACTCACTCGTTGGCTGCCAGTGCGGTCCGCTGCAAGATGCATCCAGGTGTTCACAAGTGACAGAGGGTGAGGGGGAGATTTGCGGGCGTTGTGCACTAGTCTCAATCGATTTGACAAACTTTTTGAACGCAGCCTTTGGCTTGCACTAAAACGTTCCGCTTTTGTGCTTATTTCAGAAACATCCCTAGTTTTTGATAGGGCGGCTGGGTGATTCCGTGCGTAGAGGGCGTTTTCGTGTCCACACCCTCCCCAGAGCGAACTTATTCGAGTGCAGTCCATTTATACACTTAAGAATCTTGTTTGGCACTAGAATAGCTTGTTCCCTTTGTAAACGGACTTTCAAAGCTAACATGTGACGCGGGAGAGGGGCCAAAAGGGTCGATTTTGTAAGTTCCGTCATGTCCATTCGCACCTTACACCAACTTTGCGGCTCTATAACCCTGCGTTCCATTCAAATCTTCGAATTCCACACACACCCATCAAATCTTTAACTAAGAGTGACTATCTTGCTTGAATTTGAAGATCGTATATTGATTGGAACTGTACTTTCAGAACGCGTACTAAATGTCCACCGTACTCCGACTTTTACCTTAGCGGTTTCAAAGTAAGCACCAAAAAAACTACTAGGAGTGCTTCCTGCTCAAAACCACCGCCGTATTCAGAATCAGCACGGTCTGTTTACCATATGAACGAATTTCGGTGGCGAAAAAGTGAGGGGGGTGAGTGTGAGAGTGGAAGTAGTGTGTGAAATCGGTGGGTTGTAACAATTGGTGTAATTTCCGTATGCCCCTCTCGCTCCTCGTCTATTGGGTTTTGAAAGACATCCTACACTTGAAAAGATGTGTCTTGACGTCGAACTAGTGTGCCAAACTTATGGCATATTTCTGTGGCGATATGCAGTTGCAGTGAGCCAGAAACACCTGTTTGTAATTTCCGTCAAGCGTAATTTCCGTCATATTTTCAGTTAATTTCGTCATATTTCATAGGGGGAGAAAACGAAAGTCAAATTTTAGCTCGCCCACGCTCAGAGTGTCTTCCTGGGGTTCAATTGATGCCATCTAGGCCTAATTCCGGCCGAACAAGCAAGATTGATTACTTGACTTTCTTAGGTGGCTAAAACGGCCCCTACGCACGGAATCACCCGGCTCCGGCATGTCCCTAACGGATGATTTGGGTCAAAAAGCGACGTTTTGGTGTGTCTTTGGCTCACTGTCAGAACACATCAAAATACAGCTCCACACCATTTGTTAGTGAAATTTTCAATACTGGCAAGCCGTCAAGATTCTCAACGAAAAAATTGTAATTCTAAGCAAATTTGCTTCAGCATTGGGTGCATCAGATCGTCGCCTGGGCAGGCGCAGTGCTTCTGACCTCCGATCACGCTCAAAGCAGATACATCAACTCGTTTGCTGTACGTACAAGCGTTATTGAATAACGACTTGCAGTTAGGTACGAATGCTAAAGACAAACTGCAGGCACCACGTCAAAGTATGATCTTTTGACAACAATTTCAAAAGTTGGCATCAAATAAAAGAGGGATGAAAAAGGTCTGCAAAATTACGTAATGTTTGCTTCGCGCACGATATCAGCCAAATGTTTTATTTTTGTTCCTATCGGTAACATGCATCTGAAAGAGGATTGCCCACAAAATTAACTTCCAGCCTTGATATCGGACAAAAAAGCTGCAAGAAAAGTGGACTTCTTAGCAAGTGTGATGCCGTCGAATACTTTTTCTGGCTGAAAACACCTCCGGACATTCTGTAGAACTCAAACCATCAATATCAGAGTAATTTGTCTGAATTTAAGCTTTTAGAGGTGCGCGAATTTTGGTCAGGATTTCAGACGTCTTTCTGACATACTGACAAAATTTACACGAGTGTACCTTGCAATTCTATTAAGTCGTTCTTTTCATCACTCCTTTCCCACGATGGTGTTGAAAAATAACGCGGCATTTTACTCACAAGATCATTCCGGGCTTATTCTTTACAGAACAAAAGCTGAGTGTTTTATGACAGCGCAGAAAAGATTGTAATTTATGGCGAAGGGAGTAACCAGTTTTTTTTTTTCCAGGGCCCGTACATTGCCTATATGCATACGTACGATTCGTGCCCTAGTGATGGCTCAGCAGTGTTCCACTTGCGTGCCACGCATTTTAAGCCCGCGAGGCCCTACGATCTGCAAGTCGTCACATCTAATTTGTCACTGACAAGGGATGTCGAGGACAACTTCTGGGTACGAGCGATAGTGAGATTTCAACGTTAGCACACGCTGCAAAAGCAGGTCTGTGCATCGCACATTGAATGAATGCCTGTGGGCACTTTTATATACTGTGGTGCACTCTGCAAGTATGGATATCTATTTTGACCCTAAAGTCCCATTCCTGGGACGTGACAGCACGTTGAAACCAATGTGACAAAATGTCACGTCACGTTCTTTTGAGCATCATGTCACGTCCGTTTGGATGTGAATCAGCCAGAGCTTGGCTTACTGACTCTCTCTCATTCCAGGAACGTGACATCACGTTGAAACGAGCGTGACAAAGTGTCACGTTCGTTTGAATGTGAACAAGGTAATTTTTGGCCGATTCACATTTACAAATGTGACACAGCGCTCAAACGAACGTTACATTTTGTCACGTTCGTTTCAACGTGATGTCACGTTCCTGGAATGGGAGTGCACTCAAACGAATGGGGCACATTACTGAAAGAAACGCGACGCTCGGTGATTCGTTTCAACGTGATGTCAAGTTTCCGGAATGAGAATGTATAGACCTGGGTTTGAATCCTGTTATGGTAAAAATCCAGAAAACGAAATGCGTCCCATTTTCCCTAACGCAACGGCCTGACGTTACTACATGTTAGATGTACTTGGACTTGGCCGTTCGAAACAACAACGAGTGGAAGGAGAACGCCTTCGTAGTCAAGTTCCCCAACGTCGGATGCACTACGATACGTGACCAAGCCCCGGGCATCTTCGCCATCATAGCCAAAAGCACCGGGGTGTCACTCAACAAGAACGAACGCTGTTTCATTCCGAAGGTGAAGCAAGCGGCCATTCCATGCTGCACTACACTCTCAGCACGTTATTGACTGTTTGCTCATTTTCTCAGTACTTATGCAAGTCATTTGTGCAACCAAAATACGTACTTTTCCTTTTTTCCAGAACTACTTAGGAAATATTAAACACGAGGGGTCCTACACTCTCAGACCTATATGGACTTTTTTCTCTCTTGCTTATTGCGTTTTTTGAGCAAACGTAAAATGTACTATTTTCTTCTTAACTATGCACAATTTTGATCGGAATATAGATGAAATTATCAATAGATCATGTAGAAATTGAAACGTACATTGCAAATGACAAAAAGTCCGGTTTAATGGACTAAGTACATCATACAATAAACAAAATAGTGCATAGCTAAAAAGAAAAAAAGTATATATTACGTTTTCACAAAAACCTTTATGGCAAGAGATAAAAAGTAAATACGAGTCTGAGAGTGTATTCAAAAGATCTTAGCTGGGCTTTCCCCCAAGATAATCTTATCTTGCAGCCGAATTTCACTGATTTTGACCATTTGGTACAGCTACATGTTAATAAAATTTGTGATTTAGTTCACGTTAATCTTAAGATGGAAGATCAAAGAAACCGAAAGTGCATGTAGAAATATATTTCGTTTACCGTCGTATTTATCCGAAAGGATTAAAATGAGTGAAATTTGCCTGCGTTTAAGATAAGATTGTCTTCGACGGAACGCCCAGATAAGATCTTTTGAATAGGACCCCTCGATATTGTACTGAGAATTTTCTATTGTACATAATTTTACAAAGAAAATTATTCATACTTTCTTAGAAAATACTAAGTATTCCTGCTGTTCATACGAATATGTAATGAATGAGGAAAAATACTTCGAAAGGTTCTAAGGGGAGGTTCTGGTGAAAATCTTGCCATTTTCCAAATGGATCCTACAGTCATAATTTGTTTGGAATATAAAATTTTTCATTGAGGAGACTTAAATTTGACTTTTGAAGGCACATGCCATGCTGTAAACCCAGTCGAAGAGTCTTTTTGAGCCTATTTTGGCTGTATCTTAAAAAAATATCCTTGCGCATACTATTTTGTCGTAAAAGGTTGTTCTTGACATTTTTCACTTCTTCGACTCATTTTCAAAAGATACCGGCATGCAGAGCTCAAAACTTCCATCATATTATTAGTTATTAGCTTTTAAAGCTGAAAAGTCCCTAAAATTTGACTATTTTGTACATTTTTGATCAATTATAGTGAAATGCTTGGTAAGAAAGCTTGCGAATAAAAATGCAATTGACATTTTGAGATGTGCATGCCGGCATTTTTAAAAAATGAATCGAAGAAGTGAAAAATGTCTAAGCCAACCTTTTACGACAAAATAGTATGCGCAAGAAGATTTTTAAAGTTATAGCCTAAATGGGAGAAAAAGGCTCTGCGACTGGGTTCAGGGCATGGAATGTGCCTCCCCAATGAAAATTTTTAGTAAATACTTGATAAGACATCAAATTTTTAACAAATTTTCAGAGTGGGACCTATTTAGGAGAAAATAGCATTTTCACCAGAACCTCCCCTTAAGCCTGACAAGAGCGTGTTGAGTAGACTGCTTGCAGAGTATCCAAGCTACCTCGTGATCGTTCTCATCCTTTCAGGGCCAGTACGATGTCAACGGCCCGGTGAACTGGACCTTTCCAAACTTCCCCATCATGCCGTACGGGCGCTACCGTGTCCACCTGCGCGCTCGGGGAGATCCCAACTCCCCTGTGAGATACTGCGCGATCGTCGACTGCGAAGTCATTCCGAAACCGGGCTAAGGCGAACTTTGCACGCCCAGGATTCCTGCTACACTGTGCATAATATATTGTTGATTTGTGGCATATTTTGTCGGCAAATGCCCTGTAATATTAAAACCGGACAGAAGTGTTAAGGGAGTATTGCGGCTAGTATTTTCTTAAAGTGCAGACGACCCATTTTAGCATCGAGGGTACTGACTTGCGAGGACAGGATTTAGCGTGATCTCAAAGTACTTTCTGGACAGAAATTAACTCGGTAGCTCGTAGCCCCTAGTGGTAGTAGCGGGTAGGCCAGCAACCAGTCTGACAACGTGCCTGAGTCAAGGCCCTCTTTGGCCCCTGCTAGGGCAAGTTAGGCCACCAATCGCACTCTAGTGAGTTGCAGGACTTGCTTATCTATCCGACAGGCGCTACGAGCGGGCCATGAGCACATAACTCGAGTCCTATTCGTACATCAAAATTAACCAAAAATTTTGCAATTCACTCTAATGCATTCGAATCTAACTTCAAACTAGAGAATTTGGTTAAATTTGAACTTGTAAGTTTACTGAGTACAGGCTTATTTGTACGCATGAGCACACCAGTGATTAACCCCTCGAAATGTATGCAACTCCGAAATGCAGGTGTCAACGCAGACGGTGAGGTTTGCGGGCGTTGTGCACAAGGGTACATTCATAGTGCATGGATGGATCTGCAGTACTCCTTGGCTTGCACCTAAAAGTTCGGTTTTTAGGCACGGAGTAGCGTTATAGCATCCCCCCAGGATTCAGCCTCGCTGGGATTTGATCGCGTGGCCCCTTATGCAAGTCGAAACCTCTCTAAAGGATTTTGATGAGATTTTGCAGACTGGTAGAATTCTGAGACGTGATTTCAATTCTGGAATATGGTTGAAATCTCGGCGATAAATTTTGAGAAAATTGCCGTCAAAATCATTATTTCCATAGCAAAGCTCGACTCGTCAACGAAAAAGAAAGAGAGAGGGGGGAGCCGAGCCAAACCAAACCAACAGCATGGCTCCGTTTCGCTTGTGTACAGTCAAACTCCAATATAGGCTCGCAGTTCGGGAGGGTCGCCGAGACTATTTCAGATTGGGAAAAAGGTTTTGCACGTGTTGCCGTGGGCCTCGCCGAGCGCTCGGGAACAAGAGAGGCCAGGTGAGGTGTGGACAATGAGTACTGGCCTTTGATTTTCGAAACACCAAAAACTACAGTTTTTGTAAATATGCAATTTTGAAAGCAGCTTCGGAAAGAGGAGAAAAAACCGGAAACTTGAGTGAAAACGAGAAATTGCTACGACAATTTTCACATTTCGAACGTTAGACTAATGACCTCGGACACGCATCGTTAAAATTATCGTAGGAAGGTCTAATGATCACAAAAATTCTTAAAATTTTTGGCACTTTTAAACATAATTAAAAATGAGGATATTGTTAAAAATTTGGAGGTTTTAATAATATTAAATTAAAAGGCACGCATGCCTTTTGTTTGGCTTCCGCTCGACTGGCCTATTGTCTGTGGCTCTGCCTGGCTTGACCCTCAATAAAACCCTCGCCGGTGAGGTGCTCGGCTCGGGGGCCAGCCGGGGGTCCGTCGCTAAAACCGAGCCTATATTGGACGAGCCTATATTGGAGTTTGACTGTACAGGTTACCCCAAAAACGGTCGCTTCTTTGAAAAAGGACGTTCGAATAAAAAACTTACTGCGACCGTGATAGAACAGATGTAACAATAGCACAAGAGGGTTTTTTGGACGCAGTCTTTTCATTGGCACTGCCTGATGAAAATTTTTAATGGGAATGTCTTTGCTCATGCGCAGAACATTATACAGTCTTACCAATATGGAAACCGACACTCATTGTGAGTTTTGTGTTTGTTTCATTTTCAATGTGTATTTTCTACTACAAAATTAATCTGTATAAATTATGACATTATATCTGAATATATTTTGAGGACACATGTTGAAGAAAAGATTTAAAAATTTTGAAAAAATAGAACAATTTTTTCATTTATCAACTTTTTACTGAATCAATAAAACAAAATTATATTTCTTACATTTGTCTTAGCTGGTCTTAGCTCTAGTTTTTGTTTGATGGTACTCATTCAGTTAGCACCATGACCACATCGCTCTACCTCGCGACTTTCAGTGCTCATGTTCCTCGAACAAGACTCACCTGCGATTCGAAACCATCCCTCCTGAGTTTATAAAGTTTGTCAAACCAACCGTCGTGGTGTTGTTACGTTGTGAGTGAGAACTATTTCACAGAATTGAAGAAAACATGACTAGAGAACCGTAGCCTTTTGAAACAAGCCAAACAATTCAACGTCAGCAACAATGGAGGGGCAGTTTTAATGCGCGACTACTCGTGTTTTCGGCTTCGCTATTTTCGCAAGGGCGCTGACACCGAGAAGATTGTTGCCAACCCGCGAAAATTAATTTACTGCGTCCTTTCCCCCACGAACATTTTAATAATGATTGACTTCAAAGATGTTCCACTGTGGAATACATTAGCATTGGAATTTTTCGAATTTTACGGCATTTTAATTTCTTTTTGTTGCCAAGTTTAAATTTTGACGGGTGGCACATCGACCACATAGGTACCACTGCCATTCGTAGCCACCCACAGTGGGCCAGAAGGCCGGTGGAGGTGGCCAAAACTCTAGACGCTTGTTGAGCTGCAGAGTCGCTTAACAGGTCTCGAACCGAGCCTGCACTGATAAAAATTTTGTCGTAACTTAGCGACACATATATCGCTAACTTTTTTAGCGACAAGATTTGTTGTGGACTGAATAGCTTGTTAAACCGTAGTCGTATTGGAACCAAGGGATAATTTCACAACAACTAACTTGTAATAACGCACCTACAATAACACATCAACGACAAGTATTGAAAGTCCCAAAGAAATTTTGTAATGTCTGCGACAATATTCATAGAGCACTTTTGTCGCTTAATTTATTTTGCATGGTTTGTTTAAACAATAGTAATTTCCCTATGACTTAGAAGAAAAAAATAGATGATTACTCGTAATATGCTTTATTTGAGCAGATAATTGCAAAAGATTTTGTTTCCACACAAATTGTATCATAAAGAGTGATAAAAAGAATTTTGTTCTTCAACGACAAAATGTCGCTGGGACATTCCACGTGAATCCAACGACGGTTTGGAATCGAGGTCCTCGGATTTCGACCTAAGTGGTATCAATCGATTCAGTATCGGCCCCTGACTCACCATGTAAATTTTTTTGAAAACATTTTGAACGGTTTAGTTTTTGCACCAGTTTTATGGTTTTATAAGTTTAAAAATAGTAAAAACAAAAATGTTTTTTCAAAATTTTTGTAGGTGTTCTTGAGGGTTTAGGAATGTGGGAAAAGCATTAAAAGTTGTTTGAGAACCATCTTGGGAGGTTTTAAGGGTAGTGAAAATGGTGAATTTTGGTGAAAATTTGACAAATTTCACCGTTCTGAAAATACGTCATCATGGATTTTGGCCAAACTTTTTTTTTCTTTTCCTCTACTATTGGTGCATACTCCCTTAAGAGGGTTTGGATGGCCCGCCACAATTTTTTCTTCTGGAGCCTATAACATGTCTAATTGCGGCATATTTTTCCCTTTAATTGACTGTTTTTTTTTTGTCGTTTCTCTCATACGCTTACTTGGTCGACCATGCAGATCACTCAAAGTAAGGATATCAGGGCCCAACACAACTCCTGATAGCTACTAGCTAGCTAGCTCTTCTATATGCAGACTTTTAGGGACCCATGCAACCATTATTATAGTTACTTTACACAAATTTATTTTATTTTGAGCACATTTTCACTCATAGATCTCGACTAACCTGAGACATGGAGTTTCGAAGTGGACTTTATGTAGTACAGCACATGTTTCAACTTGATTACTCTTTCCATTAACAATTTCTGAATCTTGCCACCCTTAAATAGTGAGTTGTCACTAAACTTTTGTCCACTTCAAAACTCCATGTCTCAGGTTAGTCGAGATCTGTGAGTTAAACTGTGCTCAAAATAAAAAAAAAATTGTTTAAAGTATCTATGATAATGATTGCATGGGTCTCTAAAAGTCTGCATATAGAAGAGCTAGCTATCAGGAGTTGTGTTGGGCCCTGATATCCTTACTTTGAGTGATCTGCATGGTCGACCAAGTAAGCGTATGAGAGAAACGACAAAAAAACAGTCAATTAACACTAGAAGCGCCGGGTTTTCGGATTACCGTAAAGCGCCGAGCGGGCCAATTTGACCCAAGGGCATTATCGTCGTACATGTCAACTCTTGAACCGTCATTTCGACTCAAAGGGAACCTAAAACGGATTTGTAGGCCCTTAGCAAGTCAAAGGATAAAATTTGGTGCACAGGGGTCACAGGGGGCGAGGTAGGCAACCCGCAAACCATGATTTGCTGTTCTTGGAGTTTTCTGCTGTGCCTCGTTGCCGAACCGTTTTTGATGATAATAGATGGCATAATTGTAGTCGCCTTGTGATCGAGATAGTGATTTTTAATCAAATTACTGCACCGTAGACCATTAAGACCGGGCCAAACCTTCAAAGCATAGCCGCAAGGCATGCCCAGAAACCAGGATTCAAAGCAACGGAGAGCTCATAGTAAGGAGGATTGAGTGCACGATTGAGTGTGTGCTAAAAGGCTGGAATGTAAGCGACATGAGTAAACACCCTCGGGTACTCAATAAACTCGCTACGACCAGCAAATCGCGTAGTGGGTACTAATTTGCGTCCGTTCGTCAACTAGCGTTCAGTGATCTGTCCCAACCAGTTTTGCTCCTGCTGTATCCCTGAGATGGCTTTCCGTGTCGTCCATCGTCCTGACCGGCTTGTTCAGACATCTAGGGAATGAATAGTTGCCGAACTAGTTAAAATGTACGGAGGCAAGTGAACGACATTGAAACACTACACGCGAGAGCAACAATGTGGACCTCGGCATTTTATTTATCTCTTTACGCGTGAGTAAGTGATGGAGTCCTTTGTCCCAAGGATTCGGGCTGAGCGTGCTATGAGTGCC